TGCACTGAACTCTAATAATTAAAGAGTAATGAGCAAAATTATGGTTAATTAAGTACTTCAATTTTCTTTCACTATCATTTGAATTATTGCCACTTAATCCTAATTTCCCTCTATAAAAATATTTTTTCATAATTTCACAGTCACAGTGACCAAATATAAGATTTGCACCTTTGAGACAATTTTCCACATTATAGAGACTGATGGTAGGGCCATTAAACCTATAGTTTCAAAGTTTAGTGAGCCTCAGTGCCACCTGAAGAATTATAAGATGCAGGTGCCGAGGCCTATGTCACAGAGATCGTACTTCCCTAGGCTACGTATCTGGGTTTTAAACAAGTGCCCAGGGGTTTTTTCATAAAACAGAACATTTTTTTAGAGGAATTTTATTGCTTAGAAGATCTGTAATGTTTTTTTTTTTTTTTTTTAAGTATATCTTTTTATTGATTTCAGAGAGGAAAGGAGAGGGAGAGAGAGAGAGACAGAAACATCAATGATGAGAGAGCCACTGATCGAGCCCACAACCCGGGCACGTGCCCTGACGGGGAATCGAACCCCGATCGCCTGGATCCTAGGTCAACGCTCAACCACTGAGTCGTGCCCGAACGGGCCTGTAATGCTTTTTTTAACCTAAAACCAAAACACGTGTCAAGCTGTTTACTCAGAGTAACTGTCAAAAGTAATTAAACACAGTATAGGCTGATTAGATCCCAATCAAATTCCAGAGCCATGGAAAAGGGCCATGCAACTGACCACACACAACTCCTCAGTTTGAACAATGCACCCAATAATACCTATGGGATTAGGATGTTGCAATTCTGGATTATTCATTATATTTATTACAGCTACAACATAAAATGGGCCCTTTAATCTAGAAAGCTCATTCAAAAAATTTTAATTAATCATATATATTTTCAAGTATTTCTGGACAAATAAAATAATGATTTAAAGCTATTTCAGTCTGTGGTACATTATACTCTCTAGCGCTTTTCTATTTGGAAACTGAATTTAATCTGTATCATGTAAAATTATCTAAAAATGTATTACATTTATTAATATCTAAAACATTTTTGTCAGCTTAAAGAATTTTTTAACTTATAAAAGAAATATTAAAAGATTCTAGAAAATATATTCATCAGCAAAGTTGCATAAAAATACAAAATCTAAAACATGACTTATTAAATGACTTATGAATTTAATATGCAAAAATTTTAGAAGATCAACAGTTTGCCTTATTCCTGGTTTTTGTGTGTGATCTAATAGTTAATTGTGTTAAAGAAGAGTGTATTATTTTCAGTTACTAACAAATTACCCCAAAGATCTAACAAGAGTACCAACCACCTTAACCTAATTCATCTTTATAGAACACTGAATCCAATAATTGCAGGGTATACATTATTTTCAAGTATATATGGAACATGCACCAAAAATGCCATTTATGGGGCATAAAATAAGTCTCAATACATTTCAAAAGATTTTTATAATCACACTGCTGAACATCTTCATCTCAGTATTTCACCTACTCACCATGTGGACTCTGTTTAGTATGTGTATGTTGACTGGGGGTACAGGGAAGAAGGGTAAGAATGAATAATCTGTACTTTGTAAACCTACAAGACATTGCTCCATGGTGCTGAATGTAATGAGTCCATTTAGCTCAGTGTTCTCAGAATCAGTCCCACCAGCCTTATTCATACAACCACCCAACATCCACAGCAGGTTATTCCAAGCAATACAGCAGAGCTAGGCATACCTCAGAGGCAACCTTATATACTGGTTCTCATTCCCTCTACTGAAGGGTACAAAGTAAAAATGTAAAGTAGGATGGTACCAATTTGAGGGAAACCTATGTCTGTACCCCTTCACAACGGAAACACAGATGGACAGAAACCAGGGCTCGGCACTGCTGCTCAGAGTGCAGGCGGATGTCAATGATGAAAGCACACAGACCACACCTCAACTATCTCTACAGCAACCAGAGCGCCAAAAGGAGTACAACAAGAGAGTACACAGGTTCTTAAAACAAAATATATGCAGCTAAGTTGGCATATACAAATAAAGACTTGGTTGACTTCTATATGCTATGGTTAATGGACATGGAAATATATTTATAACCAACTCAAAGACAAAAAGCAGGCTACTATTCAACCCTTTTGCTTTAAAACAAAAAGTATGAATGTGTCTATATCTGAAAAAGAAGTGTCAGGATGTAAAGGCCACTCAAATACCAACAGTGATGAGCTCTGAGCAACAATGGGATTACAGGTGGTTATTTCCTTCTTTATATGTTTATTTTTCCTCATAAGGAGCTATATTATTTTTATAGAAGAAAAAAAAAAAATCCAAAAAAGGAATGGAGGGGAGGAGAAAGGAAAGAAAAAAGAAAAAGGAGGAGGAGGAAAGAGGAGGAGGAAGGAGGAAGAAGGAGGAGGAAGAGGGAGGAGAAAGAAGGGGGAGGAGGAGAGGAGGGAGGAGGAGAGGAGGGAGGAGG